ACGACGACGACGACGACGACGACTACTACTACTACTACTACTACCACTACTACAACTACTACTACGACTACTACTACTACTACTACTACTACTACTACTACCACTCCCTTTACCACTACCACTACCACTACCACTACCACTACCACTACCACTACCACTATCATTTCCCCCACCATTACCAATACCAGTACTACAACGCGCGAGCACGCCGAGATCAGACATTCCCCGGTATGTTTTTTGGGAAACCGAATGGTCACACGTAAGCCAACCAGTTGGCTTTCGAAGACTTTGCGGCCCGACCCCGCTCGAAACATTCGCAAAAGAAGCGCCGCAGGAATCGGACATTCCCCGGTGCTACCGGGGAATGTCCGTTTTTCCCGCGGATTGTCCGATTTTCCCGGGCTAAGTCCCGATCGCCGAACGGCCCAAGTGGCCCCCAAGATGGCCCCAAGACGGCCCAAGAGGCCTCCAACACGCCCAAGATGGCCTCCAAGACGCCCAAGATGACCTCCAAGACGGCCCCGAAGCGCCCCAAGAGGGTCCCCCGTTGGCCCAGAAAGGCCCCCAAGACGGCTCCCGACGGCGTCAGACGTGCCAGGAACCCACCAAGATGGCCGAAGTTGGCTCGAAGCTGGCCCAAGACGGCCCAAGAGGCCCCCAAGAGGGCCTCTAGGAAGGCCAGAAGAGGCCAAAAACATGAATGTTCCTGAGGTTTTGGACGGATTTTGACATTTCCTTCTTCTCGGCCTTCCGACGGCCCGAGACGGCCCAAGAGCCCCCAAAGATCGCCGAAAGATCGCCCAAGAGGCCTCCAAGACGGCCAAGATGACCTTCAAGATGCCCACGTGTTCCCCGAAGGCTTTTCAAACCGACTCGGGGAACACATGGTCCGATGGCTTGGCAGGTCTGGCCTCAACGTTCGGCCACATAGGCGCTTCCAAAAAGGCAGGGGTCGGCGTTGGTTCGCCGTAGGTGTCTTCGATCCGCCGCCCCCTGTTGATTCATCACAGGGGTACTTGGCGTGCTAGACTATTACGGTTTTGGTTTTGGTTCTTTTTCCAAAAGAACTCCCCCTGGGGCTTCGGCCGGTCCCACCGGCCACCCGGAAGGATGCCGAAAGATCTTCCAGAGGTGGTTACACAGGGTTTTTCCGTTCCAGACGGCTCCAAGATGGCCTAAGATGGCCTCCAAGACGGCCCAGGATGGCCTCCAAGACGGCTACGATGATCCCAAGATGCCTCTAAGACGGCCCAATATGCACCCAAGACGGCCTTAGATGGCCTCAAGCTGGCCCAAGACGATCCAAGAGGCCCCGAAGAGACCTCCAAGACGACCCAAGAGGCCTCCAAGAGGTCCTCTAGGAAGGCCCGAAGAGGCCAACATCATTGAGTTTCCTTAGGTTTTTGAAGGATTTTGGCATTTGCGCCTTTTCGGCTTTCCGACGGCCCAAGACGGCCCAAGAGGCCCCAAAGGTCGCCGCAAGATCGCCCAAGAGGCCTTCAAGATGGCCCCATGACGGCCCAAGAGGCCCCTCAAGACGGCCCCAAGACGGCCCAAGAGGCCTCGAAGACGCCCAAGATAGCCTCCAAGACAGCCAAGATGGCCCACGATGGCCTCCAAGATGCCTCCAAGGCGGCCAAGATGGCCTCCAGGACGGCTAAGATGGCCCCTAGATCCCTAGATGCCTCCAAGACGGCCCAAGATGCACCCAAGACGGGATCCTGGTAAGAACGACGCGGGCGGCGAGCCCGGGCGGCGACGGGCAGCCGTCATCGGCCTCGTCTGCGTCGCGCGGGCGCTTCGTGGGGATTCTGGTCTCATTTCAGCGCCGCGTGCACTCGATTTAAAGGCACTCAACAGTTGCAAGCATACAAACCGGTTCGCTTTCAAAAATGCCGTTCTCGCCTGAGCGCCGCGCACGCTGGTCTCAGACAAATCCAACAGTTACACGGATGGAGGGGGAAGGGTCGCAGAGCAGCTCGCCTCGCTAGACCCTTTCCTCGATATGTATATATATACACGCATATATATATATATATACATATATATATATACACATATATATATGACCCGACTTGACAAATCGTACAGCAGATATACGGATGAAAAACGCCTCATTTTCAAAATGGGGCTCTCGCTTGAGAACCTCGCAACTTTTACTACGATAATTCTGAGATTGTGAACCCTGACGCGGATGGAGGGCAGATTTTCTTGAACAAGAGCTATCACTTTCATTCTCCTTGAGCTTTATCATCCTACCACGCTGTCTTTCTTAGAGCTGCAAAGGTAGAGTTGGATCACATACAAACTGATTCAAGGGGGTGCTTGCCGAAATAAAACAGAAGAGGAAACTTGGGACGGGAGGGTGTATTGTAGCATCGTTAACGTATCCTGGGTTTACTCTGGCCCCCAAACTCCTCCACGAGTGCACATTATGCAAACTACTATCTTCTCTCCGCTGAGTCTGTCCAGGAGATCTCCGGCCCTCTCCACGTACTTCTTTGCTTAAACGCGCGATGCCATTATGTTCTCCTGCGTTTGCAATCCGATTGTTTCTGGTGTTGCTGAATGGTTCTCCTGCTGCAGCGAGGGCCTCATTTTCGGATCGGCGCTGTGCTCCCGTCGTTCAGAATGGCGCTCTCGCCCCAGCGCGGGCCACTTCTGGATCCGAATTCTTTGTCCTCGTTGTCATCCCCCGCATTTCCCCTTCTTCGCTCAGCCTTCCCCTGCTCCTCCTGCTCCTCCCACTCATTTCACTCCAGCTCCTGCTGCTGCTGCTGCTGTTCGTCCTCGTCCTCCTCCTTCCTCATCCTCCTTTTCCTTTTGCTCATTATCCTGCTCACCCGCCACCTCCTCCTCCTCCTCCTCCTCCTCCTCCTCCTCCTCAGTACGCAAATCCCCCCTTCTGATTGCGCATAACACGATGGGGTCTATTCTGGCGATCCAGGACGCGTCCGCGGATAGGGAAGCATCAGCGCAATGGGTAGGGATGGAAGGGAGGGATAGGATGCCAGACATGGTACGAGCGCACCGACAGTCGGGGCGTTGACCTAAGGAACCCTAAATGAGGAACGAGGCCCCTGTTTCCCATAAGTTAAACTTCGATTTCCCATGGAGAACCTCAGGAAAATCTAAGGCAAGCTGCACAACAATCAAGGAACACCGAGTCCCTCACCGACTGTAGCTTGTCCTCCCCCCCTCTCCCTCTCCTCGGTCTGGGCGGGATGGGTGCACGGCAGGTTCACGTCGCGATAACGTAGGCGCTGGCCTCTGACACCGCGTGGATCGTTCAGCCTCCAAGGATCGCCACCTCTCGAATGAAGATAGATAAAGGGGCCCTGGGACACATGAATAAATAAACACAAATCCCAGGATTCCCCATGTTTTCTGGGTTCTCGTCTTCCCCCCCACTTCCAATATGTTCCCATACTTTCCTTGGGATCGACGATTAATTGTGTTTTTCCTCTCCTGATCAAAGACGAGATCGATCAGCATCTGCCGATCCGTCGGCGTTCCGCCTCGAACGCCCGCAGTGGCGTCGTCGCTGCGTCCACGACCGATCATGACCGGGCCAGTCCTGGGCCCAGGATCAGGGCGCACGCCCTCCTGGCCTGGCCAGGGGATCGCCTGCGCCGCTCTGTGCCCAGAATCGGCCTCGCCAGGATCGGTGTATGCATGTGCGCGCGGGCATGCCTCATCGACGCTGGCGCTGCTCGCAAATGCGAGGGTGGGGCACACGAGGCGTCGTTTGAGCCCCCTCCCGGGGCCCCTCGGGGTGCCCTCCGCAACGCCGGCCGCAGCGTCTCCAGTCTGCGGAAACCGTCCAGAATTTCAGGGCCAGCGCCCATGCGCATTGCTCCAAGACCTGCGCCGTCGTGATCTTTTCACAACATGGACCCCCGTGGGTCCAGGAGAGCCCAGGATCAAATCGATAAGTCGGATCGGCGATCGACATGAATCGGATCAGCGGAAATCGACAGCCAAGTCGAAAAAGTCGAATCGGCGGAATTCGGAAAGCTAGTATGCGTCCAATGAGAAATCAGAACCCACATCGGAATCCCGAATCGAATCGAATCGGAATCGGAATCCGTCAAAATCGAATGGAATCGAATCGGGGGAATCGACAAGACCCCTGTGGGTCTGGACCCCTTCCCCCAAAACCCGTTTTTCTCCTCCGGGCGCGTCTTTTGGACGGCCCTGGCCCGAGGACTGCCAACAGCCTTCCTTCCTTCGTGCTTCTGCCCTGCGAGATGCCGTCCGTCGGCGCCGAGCCACAGGGGGGAAAGGTCGGGGGCGCGCAAACATGACTCACCGATCCATGGATGTGGCGCGCGGTCGCCAAATCCATGGATCGGGGGAGATGCCCTCCCCAAAATCTAGCTGGTGCCAACCCCCGTAGCGGCTGCGGAAATCCGCGATTTCCCATCGAAGTCCTGCGAATTATGGGAAACGCGATTTTCCTTTTGGCGGGATGCAAATGGGGGGATAAGTCCAGATGGGGAGAGATGCGCAACCGAGGTACAAATTGTACCCACGCCCCACGGAGAAGGTACAATTTCTACCGACGCCACGCAGACAAGGTACAAATTGTACTTTTGACAACGTCCGCGACATGTGCGAGGATGTTAACGGGGGGGGAGAAGGTACAATTTGTACTTGCAACCCGCAGAGAAGGTACAAATTGCACCCCAACAAAACGGTACCGGATACTCATCCCCCCATGTCCTGATCCCCCCATCGCCATCCGGCCGATCCTTGAAAAACCGTACTCAATGGGCCAGAATTGCGTTTCCCGCAATTTTTAATCATGGGAAACGCAATTCCGGACGACTGCCCGTTGCTAAGCCACGCCCCCTTGATCCATGCTTGCGATCGCCTGTAAGTGAGAAGGGGCAGAGCCTCTCCGAAAGCCTGACATCTCCCGATTTCCCCCCTGGGCTCGTCGCGACGTGCCCTGCGCGCGGAAGCCTGGGATGCGCACGGTTCTCGCCGCCCGGCTCCTCCGGCTCTGGGCTGCACGCACAGCCGCCGCCGCCCACCTCCGCGCGAGCGGGGCGGGGGGTGATCGGCCCGCAACGGCGGCTCCATCGGGCGCCAGGCTCGGCTCGGAGGCGGCCCGATACAGCAGGTGCACACGAGAAGCAAGACTGCCATACGAAGATATTGGCACACATTCTTCGTCGGTTTCGCTGAGGGCCCTGATGTGCGCAGAAGCTTCTGCAGGCCCCTGGGGGCATCGGGGGATAAAGAACCTCCCTGGGGCACCTGGTGGCTGACAGGATTCTTCATGGGCGTTCCTGCTGTGCACGCCGGCTCGGCTCGGAAGCGACCGGCTCGGCTCGGCTCGGAAGAGCGGGCTCGAACCCGACGGCGGCTCGATCGGGCGCTCGGGTCAGCTCGGAAGCACGCCGGGGCTGGCTCCTGGGCGATGTCACGCGCGCAGGTGCCAACGTCAGCCCCTGCTCCTCATCCACCTCCTCCCCCAAAGGTGTTTGTATTCTCCCTCGCCAGCCTTTCTGTGCTAGGCCCCTGTTTTGAAATAGAGCGCACCGCTGCTCCTCTACTCTCCTCTCCCTTCCAAAACTTCATTTGGGGGGCAGAAACGCTTAACGCCCATGCCTCAGAGCGAAAGAAAAATCCGCAGCCAGCAGTGAGGCGCAGCTGGCGCGGCTGAATAACAATCTCATCGCACAGAAACGGGGTGATGATAGTCAACTTCGACCGCCGCCGCACCGTTCTTGTCAGGGTGATTCCCAAATGAAGAACTGCTACTGTTCCTCCTCCCAGTGATGCTGGGAGGCTTGCAAACGCAGCCCAGGCCTTTGACTTCGGCCCCCGAGCTGGAACACGTACAGCGCAGGCGAACGAATACAAATTAATGTGCATAACAGCACGATGCAGTGGCATGGCGCCGTAGCCTTGGCAGCGCCGCCGAATACAAACGGGGCCAGCCAGCACAACCAGAAAAGGTTAGGGAACTCGACAGCCAACGATCCTCGCAAGCATACCCTACACCTCCAGATTTCGCTCATGCTTCCCCAGTGGTGCTTAGGGCGGGAGGCAGCAGCGGCAGGAGGCTCAGGATGGGATTGGGTAGACTTGACTTTCTCAGCGCCACGAAACTCGAGCGTCGGCCAGAGCGGCAGTGATCTCCGCCCCCGCCAAACCAGCTCCCTTCTTGACCGCAAGATCGGCATGGAACTTGTCAAGACGACGAAACGTTGAATCACCACTAATGGTGGCAACGTTCGTGCCCCTGTGAGCACCGACTTTCTGTAACGACTTGCAGAACTTTCCAGATCTTACCAGCGTGGCGACGAGCTTGCAGGACCTGCCGTGGGCGCTGCCTTTTGGCTCTCAGGGCGTAGGGGACCTCGGGGCCTCGGCGCAAAACAGCATTCGAACAGTCGGAGTAGCAGCGGGCAGAGGCCTCGATGTACAAGCCAGCCCACGCGAGAGACCCAAACTCAGAGCTCTGCGGGATCTGAGGCCAAGGAGCCCAAAGAGGTCCCTTGAGAGCCCCCTGGAACCCTCCTCCAGAAACCGAGCGCACGGGCCACCCCGCTCTACTTAGTTACCGCGCTCCTTCTGCAAGAGCAGCCAATACAAACGGCCCCCCAAGCATCACCCCCCACTCGCAGACCCCGCAGGAGCGTCAGTCTCCGCGTTCCCGGGAGCACTTAGCTGGTCCACGTGCTCGTCTAGCACCACTCCTCCTTCGCCGAGCGGCCGGGGAGCGTGACCTCCAGCGTGGCGACAAGTGTTGAGGACACGATTATCTCTCATGGCCAGGGTCCTCACGCGGCCTCCTGAACCACTTGGGGGGATACTGCCCCTCTGCGTCCTTTGCGCGCGGTCAGTTCCTCCTCCTCCTCCTCCTCCTTTTCCTCCTCCTTTTCCTCCTCCTTCTCCTCCTCCTCCTCCTCTTCCGATTCCTCCTCCATCCCACTCTGGGGACGCGACGTCTTACTCAGGCCCTTGATTCCACTGCGTTCTCCTGCACGTCCCTGACTAAGGCAACTCGTCTGGGTATCGTTCTTGGATGGGCTGGCGTTTTTTTTCGTAGCCGCAAGCGAAGGCGCAAGCGGCGTCAAGGGTCGTCCCGGGCTACGGGCGGAACCTACTTATCCAGCGAGCGCACTCACGGCTGCCAAAGCTGCCGCCGAGGGACGCTGAGCGGCGCCGGGGGCTGAAGGCAGGCTGCAGGAGCTGCCAGGTGTGCCAGGCGGCCGACATGCAGCCACCCCAGAGGCGAGACCACCGGGAAGACGAACGAATTGTACCCTGTCGCGCCAGGCGCCAGAGGTAGTCGTGCCACCGAGCGCGGCAAAGTGCGGGGCTGCGCAAGCAGACAAGCGTACCAGTGTCGCATGCCAACAGTGACAGTGACCACCTCGGATGGCTGAACAAGAAGGCTAAACCATTCCCGAGCAATCCACGTAGGTCGGCGTCCCACCAGGCCTGGCGGGCTTACGCGAAGCGTCCAGAGTTGGTTTCCCTAGACATCCGAGAATTAAAAAAGATCTCGCCAGCCAGGATGCAAACGCGCGATGATGAGTCCAGAAAAGAATCTACAGCTTTCAGGATGCCCACGCTCGATCCCAACAGTCCTTGCGCGCGGCGCAGGCAAAGAAAAACCAAGCAGAAGGACGCGCAGCCAGGAACATAGACCATCGCGACCACAGATCGGCCCTCGGCGCCAGGGGGGCTTAACCAGCCCAGGACCGCCACGCGCAAAAACGGCAACTCCAGAGGTGACTCCGCCTCCATCTCCAGGCAGACCAGGAGTCCACAGGGACATCAACGCAGGGAACTTAGACTGACCCGACGCACGATTCAGGTCCTCAGACTTCAACAACCGATGTTCCCGAGTCAAAGCGATATGCGTTGAGCCTCCCACGGGCGACTGCCAGACCGACTTCTAAGGTACCCAAACTGGCTACAAGTCATGGCGACCGCCTGCAGCGAAACCTCTGATTAGAGAGCATCAGCAGTCCAGGAACTCCCAAGTCACCATGAGAAGGGAGAGCTTTAAGCTGGGCTCTCTTGTCGATGAGTGCGGAAGTTGGGGGAGCACGGACGTTATCGCTGAGCGGGACAAGCCAAGGGGAACCCATCACATTCTTGAAGAGACAGATGCCAGAAGCCCTGGCGCGCGAGCTTCTTGAGGAGACCCCCGAGGCGGAACAAAAAGGCTGTAAAAAACGGCGGGGGACCTGTCACTGGACCAGCATGCTTCTGGTGAATCGCCTCCCCCCCCACCCCACCCCAAGCCTCACGCCAGGAGGAGGGGCAAGGGAAAGACCTGATGCCAGCGCTGCGTCAGCTCCGGCATGGATATCACGCTCAGCTGGTGCTACTGGGCCCGCAGAGGCGGCTGCTCGCTCGTGCTCTTGTGCAGGAGCTGCTGCGCCATCCTGCTCACCCTCGGCGGGCGCTGTTCCACCTGCTGCAACGCTGCTCCCTGCCAACCTTGCCAAATGCGCTTGATGATCACTCTTTGCTTCCTGAGCTTGCTCAACAACACCCGAGACAAGCTCCTCTACCAATTGTTTGATGCCGCTCGACAGCGACGTGGTCCTTCTTTCGAATTTGGCCTTACCCTTTGGAGAAGTTTCGACGTTGGCATCGTCGGCGTCATCGAGAACGTCCACCTTGATGATAATCGTGGAAGTGAACTTGCATGATACCAAATCCGTCAGCCGCAGGAGAGAAACCTACGAATGTGACACCTGGCCATCCGCGTCGAACTTCTTGGTAGCTTCGTTGGGCTTGCGCGCAGCACTTTTGTGCTCTGTGTCCGACTTCTCCGAAGCCGTACTAACGTCATGCTACTCATCGAACTGCGCCTGGATATCAGCTTGGAGTTTCGCCGACCTTTGCAACTCAGATTCAATAGTTCCCAAGCGGTGGACAGCTCCACGGTGAGCCAGTGAGGCTTGGTGAACGCCAGCATCATCAGATTTCTCTTGAAACGAAATATGCATGCTTAGCAAGGTTGTCGTAGCCTTTGGCATTGGAAACATCGCCTGCCCTCGAATACAACTTGGACAACTGCATCGCTTCGTGTTTGGAATCATCTGGCACCAATCCACCGGGAAGTGGATGGCATTCTCCACCTGCACCAGACTGCCCCGGAGTGTATCACTCAGAGGAAAGCTTCTCTCCCTTGCCGAATGATTTGCCGAAACCTTTGAAACAGCCTTTCCCAGAAGAGATGCCCTAGCCTTTGAACGATGAGGCTGCACAACGCCATCCTCCCGAAAACTGGCAAGGCTGAAACGCCATCGAACCATAGACCATCGGTTCCGAAAGATTTCCACCAGTAGATGGCGAGCCACTCTTGGGCCAAACTCTCATGGGTTGCTTGGGCGCAGACGACTGCACACGAGGTAGAAGGGCGTAGCATTGCTTGCACTCGAAGTGACCACAATTATTTCCACATCCGCTATTGGAGCACGGGAAGTTTTCGAACATACCTCATCTCCTCGCACCCTTGGTTGACCACTCAGACTGCCTACCAGCAGCGCCCCTTCATCTCGCACCTGCGAACCTGACCCACGGCTGGTAAGAGAAATCGTAAGCAGAAAGAGCCATGCCTGAACCGACAAACAACTGCAAAACCGAGCGCACGTTAAGGAGGACGCATGCAATATACATATATATATATATATATATATTATACACAAGATTTTAAGGCTCGCTGCGCTTCGCCTTCTAATCTTGATCCTTGCACCTACGATGTTTCTGGGCGCGGGCGAGAACACAATTGTTCATTGAGGTGTATGGGAATTGTGCGAGCGGAGGCGAGGCGAGGCGAGTGCGCGGTAGCGCCCGGGACCGGGCTCAGGGCGCAGCGTTGGTGGACGCTTGAGTGGAGGTGAAGGTGGAAAGTCAGATGCTGGACGCTAGAGGTCGGAGTGCTGAGCTGATGGAGGCTGGAAGTCTATAGGTGGAAGTCCCACCAGCCCTTTAGGGCTACGGTGGTATAACGAGTTTGGTCTTCTCTCTTCCCCTTCCTTCCCCTGCTCGGGGGAGGGGCAACCTTCCCCTGGACCTGGAGGGGGGGGATGGAGGCGTTAGAGCGTCCAAGACGGCTCAAGATGGCTCCAAGAGGCGCTCCAAGTCGCAAGATGGCCTCCCAGATGGCCCAAGATACCTCAAGATGGGTCAAGATAGCCTCCGACACACCTCCAAGAGTCCTCAAGACGGATCCAAGTGCCCTTCGAGCCCTCCACGGCGCCCTCCAAGAAGCCAAAACCCTTCAAAAGCCTAAGGAAAGTCAATGTGTTTGGCATTCTCGTCTTTTCGCTTCCGATGGGCCCCTGAGGCATCAAGATGGCCCCGATATGGCCCAAGAGAGCCCCAAGATGGGCCCAAGAAGGCCCAAGACGGCCCCAAGATCGCCCACGAGGCTTCCAAAGAGCGCTCCAACACGACCCCAAGACGCCGTTTGAGAGCCTCCGAGGGGGGGGCCTGAATTGAGGACCCCCGCTCTTTTCGAACAATGGGGCCCAAGACGGCCCCGAGAGGCCTCCCAGCCTCTCCTGAAGATTCTCCACCCCGCCCTTTTTGGCACAAGATGGCTCCAAGAGAGCCCTAGATAGCCCAAGATGGCCTCCAAAATGGCCCAAGATAGCCAAGCATGGCTCAAGATAGCCTCCGACAGATCTCCAAGAGGCCTCAAGACAGCCTGAATATGGCCCGACATAGCCGAGCATGGCTCAGAATAGCTTCCGACAGCCTCTAGCCGAGGATGGCTCAGAATAGCCTCCAACAGGCCTCGGGAAAGCTGGCAATCAATTCTGGACGGGCTGGTGGGGATACGCGAAGAGTCAAGAATTGAGAGGAAAGTCGGCGGCCGCATGCTGGAGGACGGGATGCTGACCTGGTAGAGGCTGGGAGTCCCGCGAGCGAAGCGGCAACACGATATTGAATGAGAGATGTGGCCGGCGCCTCGGCGAGAGCACAAAACCCAGTGAAAGCTGTCTTCTGTTTCCGCCGTTTGCCCTCCCCTCCTCCTGCTCCTCCGTGCCCTCCTTCCGTCTTCCTGGGGCCCCTCCTGTTTCTCGCAATCCTCACCGTTCCTTCCTCTTTACCTAACAGCGAAGACTGATAGGTTTCTAGTGGTCTCAAAAGAGCTCACAGATCACTCCACAGGGGGGTCCGGGCAGTTCCGGGCGGCATGAGCCGGGCTCGTTTTTCACCAACAGTCACACACTTCGTGCTCTTCGCCTTCCCAGAACTCCATTCCCAGGCCACATTCTGGGGGGCCGGATGCAACTGTAGGCCACTTCGTGCTCTTCGACATCCCAGAACGCCATTCCCGGGCCACATTCTGGGGGGCCGGATGCAACTGTAGGCCACTTCGTGCTCTTCGACATCCCAGAACGCCATTCCCGGGCCACATTCTGGATGCCCGGAGCCAACTGTAGGCCACTTCGTGTTCTTCCATTTCCCAGAACTCCATTCCCGGGCCACATTTTGGATGCCCGGAGCCAACTGTAAGCCACTTCGTGCTCTTCGAGTTCCCAGAACTCCATTCCTGGGCTACATTTTGGATGCCCAGAGCCAACTCTAGTCCACTTCCTGGTCTTCGAGTTCCCAGAACTCCATTGCCGGGCAACATTTTGAATAGCCAGACGCTTCATATTCCTTCCGCCACAGCTGTGTTTGGTTCAGGACTTGCTAGTGACACTGCAGTCCTCTGCATTCAATTGGCCACTACATTCATTCACTGCAGTCCACTGAGTTTTGATTGCAATGGCGTTCCCCTGGCCGTACCCCCATGTCCAACGTTCATCCGCAGCCTCTGCTCCGCGAGGCTCGTCCGAAGTGTCGCCGCCTCGCGGTGCTTCTCAGCCTGCGCCGCCTCGCGGTGCTTCTCAGCCTGCGGAGGAAGGTGGACAGACGCCTGGTTCTGGCGCTGTGCAGCCTGCGTCTTTCACGGTCGCCTCGTTCAATTTCGGGTTCGAGCAGGGCATGATGACTGGTAAGCAGGCGGCCACTCACTGCGCTAACTTCGGAAGGTTGTGCGCCAAGATAGTGGAGACCGCTGATGCTGATATGGTCTGTGGCTGCGAGGTCGGTGCGTTCCGTGAAGGCTTTCGCCGAGCAGGGATCAACGTGACAGAGATCCTCAGTAAGCCTTTCGGTGATGGCATTCGCTTCTTGGAGGTCGACAACTACTTGACTCTCTGGGGGTTCCGCGGTGCTTCTCAGCCTGCGGAACTGACTCTGTGCGAAGACAGCAAAGTTTACAGGCCTCCTAGCGGCCGAGATATTGATGCTGTTATTTCACATTTTGAGGTGAACAAACCAGGCCATGACAAGTTCCACGTGGTGATCGCCAACATGCACATCGTGTGCGGCAAGAAACCGCCGAGCATCCAGACTCGAAAGCGGACAGTTCGCCATCTCCGCTTGCACCTGGACGGCCTGGCCAAGATTCTTGAGAATCTAAACGAGGCAGTCGTTGTGCTTGTAGTCGGCGACGACAACCTCACTTTCCAGGAGGCGCGGGAGGCTTACCAGCGCGAGCAGAACGACGAGAAGGTATGGGAGGTCCATGCCACTCCGGCCGACCTCAAAGGCGACCACGTCGCGGTCTGCGGAGCAGTCGCCCGTTTCTGCTCCATTGCCGTTGGCGCGTCTTTTACGGATCGTGGCATGCGCAACGACGCACACGATGCGGTGGCGGTTGTGCTCACTCTCCCTGGTGCTATTCAGCCTGGGGAGAGCAAGAGGCGGAAAATTGTCGTCGAAAACGTCTCCGACGCCGACGTCAGCGTACAGGCGGACCGCGAGTCTTCTGTGCATTGGGATCGGTCGCCGAGTTCTGCTCCTCCGCTTTCACCGACTTCACCGGGTGATCCCGACTACGTCGAGGATGTCGTTCAGAATCGCGCGGACGACTTGCACAGGGAGCTGAGGCAGCTTTGGGACGACAGGTACGACGAGGAGTACGATCCGAAAGTCCTCCATCATCTCAGTCTCTTGCTTTTCAAAAAGAGGAAGTCCACGGAGCCAGCGGACACTGATCCAGCTGGCGCTCCTCAGCCTGGCTCGGAATATGACACGGCCTTTGCGTCTCAGGAGGAGACTGGCCGAGCCATTCTCTCTGTCCTTAAGCTTCGACATGACTTTCTGCGGAGCAAGAACATCGACGACATGCGCTACGTTCTCACGGAGCCTGAGCGCCAGGAATTGGTCAGAGTAGCTCGCGACCAGTACGAGCAGTCGCGGCAGCAGCGTGCGCTTCAGGAACGGGATATCGAAAAGGGAAAAGCGAAAGGCAAGTCTGCGCCACAAGGGGGCCATGCGGTTCCGCAGGGTCCGAACAAAGGGCCAGGCGGTAAGAAAGGTTCTCACGGTGCTTCTCAGCCTGCGGGAAAAGGTGGCCAGGCCAAGGGTGCAGGTCTGGGTAGCGTCGCCAAGTTTGTGAAAGACCAGAAGCGTAAGCGGTGGCATCGCCATTTGCAACGTGTGGCCGGTACCAAACAGATCTGGGAGGTGCTGGCCTTCTCAGGGCGCTTCGACGTTGATTGGTTAACGCAAGCGTTGCAAGCTGATCACAGTGAGGGCCGTGATGCAGCAGTTCCCGAGGAAGCTCTGCGGCAACAGCGGCGCCGGCTGCACCACCAGAAGGCCGAGGCCATCGCGCGCTACAACGAGGGGGAGCGGCTTT